GTAACATCTTCTTCTCGGGAAGTCGGAAGAGTAACATCTTCTTCTCGGGCAGACGCGACAGATGGAGATGATGTAGCAATTGCTGGCGAAAGAGTTAGTGAAGAAGCTGATAAAGCTGATGGCGTTGGAGGATGAGAAGCAGCTGCGGCGAACACAGTGCTAGTTGCTGATTTCTCATCAATCAAAGACAGCATGGGCCCAGTACTCAGCCTCACAGTACCAGGCACAGTGATTGGGAGCGTGAAATAAGAGTTGACATTTTCCACGATTTAAAGCTCCCCCCAAAGCGCCGAGACATCGTCCTCAGTTAGTGTAACTAACTCAACATGTTGAGCATTCTGTTGAGATGATAAGGATCATCGTCTTCTATGTAGAGAAACTCCCTCATCACTAGATTCTCAATCATCATCGATCATCACGGTGTCTATGACCGGCCCAAGCGAAGGGCTCGTCACCACGACTTCCGGAGATGACTCGGGGGCGGCATTCTTTGGCCGCTTATTCTTTCCCCCGGCCACGGAGGAACGCTTTCTTTTTGGTTGTTTGTTTTATGGCCGAGGACTCCGTGAAGAAATAATTGTACCTGAAGCAGGCCCGAAGACACCTGTTCGAGTAAACCCCTCCTAAAGCAGCCTCGTTGTATCAGTAGGATCAACCAAAATATCCTCCTCGGGGATAACAACCGAGACTGGGGGAAAGGATCAATCAATTTCCTCATTCGAAAAGCAAAAATGACATAAGTAGGAGTTACCATGATTTTTGGCCTTCCACCCGTATCTGAGGGCCAGTTCTTTCCACGTGCGAGTTTCGGGCGTAGTGGCGTTCAGGATTTTTTGGACCCGTTGGTCCAAGATTTCCACCCTAGGTAGAACCATCGAGTTTTTGAAACAGACGAAGAAAGGAGGATCAATAGGTATATGGAAAAATTCCTAATGAAAGAAATATTAAACAAGGATCTTACGAATGCGATTCCATGATTCCGGAAAGGATGAAGCCGTTGCCAAAATGATGTCATTGGTGGCAACCGCAACGAACTGTTTCATACACCGACGGTTGTTGTCATCATCCATGCTAGATAATAGAGCATGGTGGTCGCGTTTGCTGAAATTTATCATTCCCCCATGGAAGATTTTGGGGGAATAGAGATTCATCATATGAGCTAAAGCTTGCTCCTCTCCCGTATCTTGGCACAAACGTTGAAGACAAGCAACCGGCCTCCACACAAAGGGACTTACTTGTTTCAAACACACCTGGTAGCAGAGGCAGGACTCCATAATAACGGAGTCAAGCTCTCTACTAAAAAAACGCTCTCAAAGTAAAGGGATACGTGTAGAAGTATTTAAAACCCTCCCTGGGTAGGGTCACTCTGATAGATCAAGAGCAATAATGTCCAAATCTTGGCAGCGACAACTTCCTTCATATCAGAAATGCTAGAAAGGTGGATGGAAGAAGGATACCGGCTAACGGTCTGTGTACGAGAATTAGCTGAAGGGAATTTCTCTTTAATGTCTTTTGTTGTAACAAGAATTCTAGGGATGATGGTACCGACTGTTGGAGGAGCAACATCCTCGGCTTTGTTCTTGTTCTTTGAAGAACTGGTGTTCTTTGAAGAAGAAGCCATTATATGTTATGGATGAAAGAAAAGTTTTGTTGAAGAACAAGATGCGAGTTGAATAAAGAGAGTTTTAGAGAATTTGGAGAATTATAGAGTATGAATGGAGAAGGTTGATGCGTATAAGAAAAGGTTTAGGCAGCTAAATTTGTGGCCATGATTACCTAGATAACCGGCAAAAACTATATTGAATCGGGGGATGACCCATGTTTGAGGTATTAAATACAGATAGACGTGCGTCTAATCAACCGTCAAAAGATTTTCAGAAGGAATTATAGTAATTCCCGCCAAAAAGAGTGTTTCTACTAACTTCCCGGTGACGCAAAATTATGTCACCGGAAAGCATGTGGACTATCTGTATAGGGTAAAATATGCTATGCCAGGTGGCCACTTAAAAGAGTGACGCTTGGAACCGAAGGCAATCATCTCGTTTGTCACCAGAAAGAATGACATTCGTAAAGATGCAATAAATATCCTCCGCCCGTTGGAATTTAATGGGGATTATACCACATCATTCAGTGTGTTGCCCGTTATAGAGAGATATGCTCACCGTTACACCTTCATCAATGTCCCTTATAATTGATATTAAAGAAGGGCATGATCCTAGGACCTTGTTCCCTAGGTGCGGCTATAAATAGTCAGCTCTGTTATAATTGTAAAAGGAGGAATTTTCTAAAAAACTTATGCTATAATTTATTTAAAGCTCTATAAAATTTTATCTTCTTACTTCTTGGTTTCATTATTATTGCGCCCGGAGACCTCATTCCCAGAATTATTATTTCTACCCTTTCGTCTTCATATCAAGGCTAAGCATTACATATTTATTCAATTTTTTTATTATTTCAGAATCAAATTAATTTATTTATCTAGAAATCACTGTACCGTTTTACGGGTAAACACTTCTTAAACACAAATGGATCATACACAATAACTGAACAAGGTCATCTTAGCCTCCATTTCATTTTATATAACAGTGTTTGACTTCACATAATTCAAAAATAAAAATAAAAGACTTGACAAAACTTGTGATATTAAGAGTGATGTGAGATTTTCATGATTGTAAGAGGATTTCATTATTAAAAGTAAAACAAAAAAGTTAAAAATTAAAAAATAAAATCTAAAATATAAAGATATCATACTATTTTCAAATAAAATTAAAAGAAAAGAGTGTTAAAAGGAGGTAATATTACTCTCTCTATTTCAAATTAGATGACACACTTTCCTTATTATTCCGTTACAAAAAGAATGACATATTTATAGAATTGGAAATAATTCAACTTTAAACTCTATGGGTGTGTTTGGTATAACGGAAATGTTTTCCAAGAAAATATTTTCTTGGAAAACAAGTAGTAGTCCTATTCATTTTCCGGTGTTTGGTACGCAAATTAAGGAAAATGACTTCTCAAGAGTATTCATAAATAATTTAGATATAATAAACATGAAGCCATAAACTTTAAAACCAACAACCTTCCGAAACCACAAATTTCATAAACTTTCGAACCGCTAAACTTTCAAAACCACGGAATTTCGAACCTGTAAACTTTATAATTTCTAAACTCATAAACTTCCATACACATAAGCCTCCGAACTCATAATTTTGGAACTTGTAAAATTTTGAACCTTTAAATCGATAAATAAAAAAATTAAAACTGAAAAATATATTTAAAAAA